GGCAGTGCAGGCGTGTCAGGTCCATGATGTGCTCCCGCTTGAAGGCAAACTCCAGGACCTTGATGACCAAGCCATTGGATGTGAAGTATGGCTGCATGATTGTCACTGCATCTCTTTGAATCTGTAGCATTGGGGAAGCTACCCCTCCATCCTCATCATCTTTACCTTTTCACCTATGCGTGTCCTCCCCTTCATCCAGGGGAATGCTGTGCAGCCTGGCCAGGAAGTTATTGAAGATCATGTCTGTGCTCAGTACGTCCTCACTGAACCACACCATGCCACAGCGAGACACTGTGGCCAGGGTTGCATACTTCAAACATTATTCTCAAATTGGGTGGCAGGCTAACTCTCCATTATGCAACATCAAGAGCTTTTTGTCATCTAGCAAGGAGTTCAGGTTCTCCACTCACTCGGGGTCCACATTGCCATCAAAGACAATCCACTGGTGTTTCTGCAGCTCACCTCTTACACTGACTATGATCTTTCTCAGCACATGTGTGAAGAGTCCATCTGTCTACTCCCTAGTGTTGGGATCCAAGGTTCCCTAGAGGTGGTCTTTGCTGACAGCCTTGGGGTCAATTATGTGGGCCTCTCAAAAGCCTTCAGCAGTACATGCCAGTACTGAAGGCCCAACTATCATCAGACCATGGCTAATCTGAGTGATCTGTTAGAGATGGAGAACCTTTTCAACCCACATCCTGCCAACTTCTTCTCTATCACTGTATGTCAAATACATCTCCTGACACATTTTCCTAAGCTCTTCTCGAAGGGCTGTCATCTCCCCATGGTGGTACTAGACTCCAGGGAACACATCTGACAGGAGACTGAAGAGCAGTGGGCTATCTTCTGCCACCAGCTTGGGCACCATTGTCTCGAAGACACTTTGGGTCAGAATCTCCTACTCAGGCAGATTCTCGGCAATCTCTCTATTATCAACTGCTTCTCCTTATTCTACTTTCTCCCTCTTCGTCTTCTGGATCCTCTCCCTCTTCACATTACCTGCACTTATGAGCACACTCTTCAAAGCACGAAGACCAAAGTCATAATGGATTTTCAAAGAAAGCTGCTCATTACAGAGTTTAAAGAATGGGATGATTTTTTTGGCAAGGACCTCAGCAGTCTGGAAGCCCTGTGAGTACAGCATGACCTGGGCGATCAGCTACCAGTCAGGCCTGGTCATCACTAAGCTCCGGAAGAGCTTCTTGAGGTTGTCTGGGAGGTTTGAGCTACCTGCATAGCCCGGGTTCATATTGATGAAGCTAGCCATGTCTGGGCTAACCTTGACTTGTTTGTTCAGTGGCTCACAAGTAATGGGGGCTGAGGTCTTATCGTAGTTGGCGTTGGAATGCTCCCGAAGTACCTCTTGTATGCACTGCACCTGCTGGGATACAGCTGAGAGCATCGGCTCCTCCAGGCGGTTAAACTTATCAAAGCAGCTCCATGCACTAACTTGACAAAGCCCCACAGAGATACGTCCCATCACCTGGAAATCAAAGATTTCAACTTAGTTTTTGAAAACGTAGATTTCAGCTGTGACAAACTGCCCCAGCTGATGACTGAGGACACCATCTTTCCAGTTCCAGAAGGTCCAAATGGGAGCCTTCAAGCCTGGCCTCCAAAGCTGTGTCATTGTCAAATAGCAACAGTCAGTGAGGGGTGTCTGAACCAGCTTGTCTTGAACTCAAAGCCATAGTTAAACTTAGCATTGACCATTTGAATGGACAGCTGCTGTAACACATCTGTTTGCTTAAGGTCAAAGTAAAATCGCATCTGGCTGAGCCATTTGAAAGATTTGGCATTGTCAGTCTTGCTTTTGTTCAAGGACCTGGTAATATCTTTTTGGTGAACCAACTCTGTGATCAAGTGCTCCAGCTTCCTCCTTCGGAGAGGGGGCTGCTCCATGAGGACAGAGTCTGCTAAGACATTGAGTGTGACTTCCACATTGCTTAGCACAGACTGCAAGGGTCTCACATCACCACCTCCCCTAACTCTGCTTAGTGCATTCTCCACATTCTCAGACCAGGCTGTTTGGGATGACAGTACCACTAGCTGGGCCTGGTATTTAGCGATCCAAGTAATGTAGGTATTTGGGTTAATAGAAGTTGCTTTTCCAAAAACCTCCACTTGTATAACACTCTGCCAGAAGTTTAGCCAAGGTGACTCTCATCTCCTTTTCCACCAGAGTGAGCCATTCATTGATTTTGGGGTGTTCGGTGATGGACACTGGAGTTTTTAACATAACTTCCTCCCCTTCTCAGGATGAAATGCTGAGGACCACAGAGTTGTCCTCATTTGAGATGATGCTAGAAACTCCAGCAAACATTTTCTTGAAGTGCTCCTGTAACTTGGCCACATTCTTGCTATTTCCAATGATTTCAAGCAAGTCCTCATCACCCACAAAGTTGAACCTGGGGAAAGGCGAGTGCTCCTGTTTCATGTACTCTACCAATGTTTTCTGGATCTTCTCGAGCTGGTCAGCCAACCTTTCCAGAGACCTCTGGACTCCCTGTATGTTCAGAACATCGATCACAAGTAAAGACTTGGAGACTTTTTCATCAGAGCCAGAAACTGTGCTGATACTCGGGAAGCACTGGGTTGACACAGGCAGCAGGTATTTGATGTCTGCACCGCCTGAGAAGATGCCTTCCAAGTAGACCCATCGTCTCTGCACATCAATCCACATGTCAAGGAGAGCCATTTGGTTCAGCTTGTCCTCCCAGCTCAGGGCATCTTCCTCAAAACCCTTGTAATATGGAGAGAGTTTCATGGCAGAGAGGCCGTCACTATGCTCCTTGGCCTTGTTGAAGAGGTCATCCAGCCTTGGATTAGGAGGCAGTTGTTCTGATAGTTGACTAAATGTAGTCCGTATGTGTTCCACACTTCCCATATCTGCTTTCAAAATTTTTCAAAAACCATCTCCCCTTATGCCACTAGCAACACATCCTTGACCATAGCTTTGTTCTTCTGAGTCAACATCCCAGATCTGGACTGGGGAAATTTTTTTAAAGGAAGCTCTAAAAAAAACATAAATAAAGCCCTCAATATCAAGTAATAGTAAATGAGAATTCACAATGTAGAACCAACAGGCTGGAGGAAATAAGTTATTCTCATTCCAAGTGATCCATCTCATGATTGAAATGAATAACTAGTTGATCAGTGAAAAATAGCCATGTAAGTGCATTGAAATAAAACTCTACTAGGTGCATTAAGAAATGACTCATGTATGGTCAGTTGAGTCTGTTGCTGCTGCCTTTATGAGATCAATATATTATGTAAAGTTGGGAGGAGAGAATGTGAGCATATTGATTAGACAGCCTGCTCAGAGTGAAAATATGCAGATCTGAGTCTGGAGGGAGGAAAAGCAAAAGCAAAATGGCATTATAAGGGTGCCCATGTCTTTATTGTGCTTTCTGACTCTGTCATCCAGGTCAGCTTGAATTCTTCCTGTTTGTTAGTGATGTGGTTTTGGGTGACTAGTCTGACACTCTTCTATAAATTCTTTGGAGGGAAAGTTTTCCATGATGGCAGCAAAGAAATAAAAAAAAAAATTCCAAATCATTCTAATTCAAATATAAGAAGGAAATCTAGGTAAAAGTGCTTTGCCCCATAGAAAAAACCTTAAGGAGGCAAGACCAAAGCTTCTGATTCTAAGACTTCCTTTACTTCTGTGAAGTCACTTTTCTAATCTGCAAAACATTTTAAAATTATTAAATCAAAAATTGGATGTTTTATTCATTGAAAGCCAGCATTCATTCTTAGATTGCTAACTTATAGATAAGTGACTCACCATGACTACTTGTATACTCAAAGTGAAGTAACAGTGCTAACTTGTCCAACTTGGGGGAGTAGTTTGATCCCATGAACAGAAACGTACCTTTAGTTACTAAAACTTACTTTTAGAATGGGTCTGCGCAGGTCTAAGTCAGATAGGGCTCCAACACTGAGAAGGGAAGTGAGCACAAGCTCCCATGCCTAAACCAGAAGCTATCTCCAGCTGCTGGCAAAGGAAAAATGAATTTTCTCACTGGAATGTCACTGGACATACAAACGACACCTAAGGACAGGCTCCATGTCCAGCAGTAGATGACCAACACAAAATGAACTCAGGACTGCTTTTTTTTTTAACCTTACAGGTCTTTTGTTTATATATCATGTTTTCTGATTTTGTGCTTTTATGGGATTTCTGTGTGAATGAAAGTGTGTATTTATGGCTATATATGTTCCTTGTGCTCTCTCTTGGCTCTTTTTGCTGTTTGTTTTTGGGTTGTTTGTTGTTGCCTGTTTTCTTATCAGGGAGAGAAAGAAAAGGTATGGATTTGGGTGGGTGGAGAGTGGGATGCTCTGGGAGGTGTTGGGGGAGGGGAAATTGATAAGAATATACTATATGAAAACCTATTTTCAATAAAAAGGTGAAAGATGAAGTAGTTTTTTTAATTGTAAGACTTACTCAACTGCTTTTTAAATGCCACATGTATTTCTTACTTGTTTTGATGCTATGGCAGAATACCCCGCTGAAAGCTGCTTCCAGAAGGGAGAGTTTGTTTTTGGCTCACAGTTCCAGGGTACAGTGTTTCATGGCAGGGAAGATATGGTAGCGGGCTTAAAGCAGGTCCCTGCAGTCAGGAAGCACAGGAAAGAATGCTGGTTTGCAGGGAGCTGTTTCCTTTATATTCATACCAGGACCCCAGCCCATGGAACAGTGCTGTCATCAGTGAAAGTTGGGTCTTTCCACCTCTATTAACTCAATCTAAATAGTTCTCCACACACTTGCCAGAGGCTAATATGATCTCAGGTATCCCTCACAGACATTCCCAGAAACTAATGAATTCTAGATAATCTCTCATGGACATATCTAGGGGATTCTAGATCTGTAGCGTTAACAGATAATACGAGCCCTCACTCTGTATGTAATGCCAAGGACCGCAGGTGCCGAGGATCTGTTTCAGTTGCTGAAGAATATGAAGACGCTTACAGAATTCAGTATAAAATGTTACTAAGTACCTGCTCCTAAAGGCATTGCAGATGTGTCTGCTATGCCACATATGTGTCAGTGGATGACAGAGAGGAGAGAGGCTATGTATACGCTCAGTGTTCTGACCTGTGAACATCTGAATAATTAGTAGCCTAACATTCCCTGAAAAAAAAAAAAAAGTCTGAGCCAGCCATCAGTCTTGTGCCAGGAGGCCTGGACAGAAAGCTAGCCTGAGATGACCATGAGTCTAGCAATAGACATGCTCGGACAGTCTCCTAGGATGGAGAGTAAGATGGAGACTAGAAGAACTCTGTCGGGGGTGAGCCAGAAACAGATGACTCTTGCAAGGGGCCACTTGGACACACCCTACCACTTCTCTCTGGAGTGGTAGTGTGGACAAGGAAGAAACCTCCTTCCTCTTACCCCCCCCACCCCCCGCACCACCTGCCAGAGGTGCAAGATGGCTTTGTTGGAGAAAATGTGTCATTGTATCAGCAGGCTTTGATGTCTCCTAGTGCTCAGGCTCTACCCAGTGGGGAAAAGAGCCTCCTTCTGGATGCATTCACATTAAGCTATAGAACTCTCCAGCACCACATCTGCATGCACAATTCCATGCTTCTTACCATGACAATGGACTGAACCTCTGAAACTGTAAGCCAGCCCCAATTAAATGTTTGCCTTTATAAGAGTTGATTTGGTCATGGTGTCTCTTCACAGCAGTATAACCCAAAGAAAGATAGAAGTTGGTACCAGGGACTGGTTATTGCTGTGATAGGCCTGGCGATGCTTTTGTTTGGAGGAACAAGGATTTTGGAACTTTGGATTTGGAAAGCAGTGGAATGCTTTAAATGGGGCTTACTGGCCATCCTAATAAGAATATGGAAGACATTGGTGATGCAAACTCTGGGAGGCTGGCTCAAGAGGTTTCAGGGGAAATGAATTTTTGTATGTTGCCTAGAGATCAGTTTTGTGATAATTTGGTGAAGACTTTGCCTCTTTTTACCATTGTCCTGAGAGTCTATTTATATTAATTGCATTAACAAAGGAAGTCTCAAAAAAGCCTAGTTTAGATTTTGTCCTGTGGTTCACTCTTATGAGGATCATTTTGATCAAGTGTAGCAAGCTTAGAAAGGAAAAATACAAAATGTACAGTTCAAAGAGAAAGTGGAGTGGCACTTAGTCTTGTGTTCAAAGATATTAAATGGAATGAAGGGAGTGTTGATCTCTGGGGAAGATCTGACCCAGCTAAACTTATGCATTTGCAATTAAACAAGGGTTAGTTATATCATGCTAGGCTTTATTATGACCTGGTTATTGTTTTCATTTGGACATAAAGAGATATGATTATGGCATCAAGCAGTCTAGTTACTAAATGGCAAGAGCTACAGAGAACATAACACAACAGTACAGTTGTTATATTGATACACACACACACACACACACACACACACACACACACACACACACATTTATATGCCAGCCTAGATATTTCCGGATTAAGAAGTCAATCTGACATGTTTCAGGGTCACTTAATTAAACTGGTCATTTTATATACTGTATACAATATATATTACCCCATTCTGAATTGGCATTGTTAAGAGAGTGATATATACTGAGTGCCTAGGATTTTATGTTTTAGACTTTACAACTTGGACGTGAATTGCAGGTAAGCAGACCTATATCCTCTGCCATCTTAATTTCCACTTAATATTAGCTGACTTTGTACTACGTTAATCCATGTGAATTCATTTTTTTTCGAAGCTTGGTTTATTTGAGTTAACCATGAACATTTCAGAATGTAGTAAGAACCCAATGAATCGAGTTATGATCTTTCTTTAGTAGGAAGCTGTTCTCTTATCTGTGTCTGTTAAGAGGTGATGTAATTTCAAAGTTTTTACAGAAGTATCATTTAATTTTATAAAATTTTCATGGATCTTGTTTTCACAGTTTTCTTAAGGTGTGTGGATCTGAATTAGTACGCCTTGAGTTATCTTGCAGCCACTTTCTTAATGACACTTGCTTGGAGGTTATTTCTGAAATGTGCCCAAATCTACAAGACTTAAATCTCTCGTCCTGTGATAAACTGCCACCTCAGGCTTTTGGCCATATTGCCAAGTTATGCAACCTCAAGAGGCTTGTTCTCTATCGGACAAAAGTAGAGGTAAGAATAACTCACTTGTGTTTTTCTTAATGAAACATCTGGCTGAATAGTAAATTGCTTTCAAATATTCATGTGATTGCTCATTTTAAAGCAGAGGTTATGACATCATGTGGATACTATAAAATCATTAAAATATTTTTACTCGCTTCAAAGTTGAAATGTATCATGGTTTTAAATGATAAACTTTTAAATGATGTTCAGGGTCCCTGGGAAAGAAAAACGGGTGGGCAGTGAGCCAAGTGCTGGCAGAGAATGTCTTCGAGGAAGAGGCAGGCAGATGACATGCAGGAGGGTTTTCGCTTGAAGTAGGAGGAAGCAAAGTGCGAGGTATTAGAAGTGGTATAGTAGTAAAATAATTAATGGTACCATAGTACCCAGGTCTCATGTTCTCAAAGCAGAATCTGTCATATATAAGCCTACTTTTTCCACGTGCATCTAGAGGACATATTTCCTTGTTAGTATGTGTTAGAGCCTAACTTTTCTTTAACTGTGTACTGTGTGTTATATTATAGTCTATTCACCATTCCCTAAGTGATCACTATAGTGGGATTTCTTGGACCTGACAGCAGAAGAATAATAATAACAGAGACTTATTAATATTTATATAGCTTAGGCTACCCCTAGCTAGCTCATCGAACTTAATTAACCAGTCTATTCTAGTCCATGTCTGCTATGTGTTCATAACCTCTTTCTCTCACTTAGGGCCTGCAGTATCCCTCCTACCAACCCAAGCAGCATGGTCTGCAAGGGGAGATCACACTTGCACACACCACACTCTGCCTGCCGCTCATGGCTAGGCCTGTCTGAGAGACACAGGTTGCTAGGAAGCCACGGCCAGCTCTGGGAAGTGTTTGTTCCTCACCTTCCTTTCAGAACTTTTCTCAGGGCCTAAGCTTGGATTTACTGCCCCACTATGGGTGCCAATATTTCTGGCCTTTTACAAACCTGTCAACTGTATTAATAAAGACACAGAGACTCTTGTATATTTAAAAAGATTAAGCCTTTACCTTGGGCTAGTCCCCAGTTCCTTCAACCCAGCAAAATCTGCCTGCGTCCTTCCATAACTGTCTACCTCTCTGCTCATGCCCATGTCCATCTCTGCGCCCATTTGCTGATCCTTGCTTCTGACTTTTCTCACATTATCTCTTTCTCTCTGACAGGAAGTGCACCTTCCACTTCTTGCCCAGCTATTGGCCCCCAGCTCTTTATTAAAACCAATCAGAAACCTTAACACAGTGCACACCAACAGATCATGATTTTATTTTCTGTGTACATTTTATAAAATGTCTGACAAATGACAGTCTTCTGTAGAGAGTTTCTACTTGCATAATATTGTAACTATGGGACAGTGACACTCCTGGATTAAAGAAGAGATGCAAAGATCCCATAGTAAACAGCAGCTTCTGTCTCTTCGTTCTTTCTCCTCCAGACACATAGGCCTACTTTTGGTTCATTCAGCATTTTTGCTTAATTCCAACTCAGGGCTCTGTTTATCTGCACTGTTTCCGAGCATATTGCATTTCTTAATAATTAACAGAGTCCTAGCTCATTTTAAGTTTTAAAGATGGCTCCTTGAATAATAGTTGAAATGAAGTCTCTTTTTTGATTTGCACCTTGTATATTACCTAGTTTTGTCATCTTGTAAACATTCTTAGCATTGCTTATTCTAGCATGATGATTATTTTCCTTTTTGTATTCTGTTTCTTCATATTAGGATATATAATTATATCTATAGTGGTGAATAATGCCCTTGTTTTTCATTGCACTGTTTCCATGTTCTAGAATAGAATCTGGTCGGCATTTGACATGGTAAATATTTACTAAGTGAATGAATAAAAGAACTGAGTTACATTTCTTAAAATGCTATACCAATGACTTTCTGACTATAACAGACCTTTATGAGTCTTAAATGTTGCTTGGTTCAGGGTGTTCAGCATCTTAGTATTTCAGTTTCCCTCTCTAAGATAAAAAATACAGATCTCTTTGGGTCGTTATGATGACTAAATTATATGTAATGTACTTAGGCAGTTCTTAGAACAATATCAGCAACTGATGAAGGTTGTAGTAACATTATCACAACAGTTTTGTAGGATCATGTTTTACTGTGAAGGGAAAGAACTTCCTCACTATTCTATTCAAGTCCTTTTAGTGGATCTAGATACTTATTCTACTTGATCGTTCATTTCTCATCGGGAGTTTCATTTAGAAGTTATTACATTCCACTTTGCACTCTGATAAAGCTTCTGATCGCTCATGTAGGTCTTCTTCTATATCTTGACGCATGTTATAGTTTTCTTCTCTTAGATCCTAAGTAATTCTGACTACATTTATATGTTACGTGTTATACTTTCACGTACTGTTTTTCTCTTTCATTTAATTTTTGCTGTTTGTTATTAATATATAGGGAAATTTAGGTTTTTAAATATACTTTTCTCATATTTGTTCTAATTTTTGTTCATATTTGTTCTAACTTTTCTCATATTTGTTCATAATTGTTCTAGTTATTTTTCATTTACATCTTTTAGATTTTTTTATCTTATACTTACATAATTTGGAAATTATTTTTTATTTCTCTTTTTTCTAGTATTTGAAGTATTACTTATTAGTTAGAGTTTTGTAAATAACGTAGAACCATAGAGTTTTAACAGATTTGTCAGAGTTTTTTCCAATCTGGTGAGAACTCTCTAATATTTGTTTTTTATAAGTCATACCAAATATTTGACTCCCCATAGGTTCCAGGTGCCTGGAACTTGTAGTGAATTAAATAGACAACATCTCACATAGTGTATTATTTTTATACTTTTTGGCTTTATATATTTTTTATATTTTTATTTACTTTTTTAAATCAAATCATAATTTTTACTTATTCACACAGGGGCTATAAACACAAGAAGGCAGGATGTGGGGAAGGGGATGACACCGGAGCATGAGTATTCAGGGGGAATACAGATATCTTTAAGAACATGGTATCGGCTAGGTGAAGGTTCAGGGGACTGGTCACTATGACTCTGTCTATGATTCACTTGTCCTTATCTAAGTTGGTATTATATGCCAAGGCTACCTATTTACAAGGTCTATGACTACTCAGGCTGGTAAATTTCCACAAAAGCTGCCTGTTTGTGATATTGGCTTTATATTTTAATAAGTAGTTCTGATCATTTTTATTTAAATTCAGAATATTATATAAAATATGTATCAAAATTTTTAGCCTTTGGAAACACAGTTCTTGCATTGCTGGATAATTCCTTTGTGGTTTGTTGTTGATGGTTGGGAGCTGGGAATTGAACCCAGAGCCTTGAATATGAGAGCACACCCTCTCCCACAAAGCTATACTCCCTATCGTCTCTCTATGTTTTAAAGTTAGTATGTAGCTAGATTGGTTTCCCAGTATTTTGTAGCCATATTGTTTGCATGTGGATAGTGATGGTCACTTCCTAATTGTGTGCTTTGAGGATATTGTCTCTGGCTTCATCCTTCTTGTCTTTTTTTTCCCAACAGTATATTTTCATTGATTACTTGGGAATTTCACGTAGTGCACCCCAATCATGCTCACTTCCTGGTCCTCCCAGATCTATCCCATAATGAAACCATTTGCCACTTCTTCCTTTCTACTCCCACATCCTTTGTATGGTTTAATGACATCAGTGGATGGAAATAGCAGTGATAAAGAAGGCAGTTAGGTGACCGTCCTCTTTTAACTTTCTACATAGTCAGCAGCAACATGTTCAGACATCAGGGTCTGATTTCAAATGCACCTCATTACTCTGAAGATATATATAAAGAAAAAAAAGATGAAATTGAGCTTTCTGGGAGAGGTTGTTCCATTTTTAAAGGGCCATACATTGCACACTACAATGCTTAATTTCTTAAGTTAACATTCACACTATGATGTCCAGGCTGTCATTGAACTCCTGAACTGTAGGAAGCTTTTTGTCCCCATCTCTTGAGTAACTGGGATTACAGATATGCACCACTGTGACATCTCAACCTTTACCTTGCAAAACTGAAAATAAGCAAAAATCAGTATTACAGTGTTATAGACTATTGATGCTACAGGTCAAATTATAAGACAAAGTTATATTTTATTTTTCTATATAAACCATATTAATTAGTATAATATGTGTAATTTTGTAAAACTTAAGTCTGTATATATAACAAAGATTTAGAGGGCTTTGGAGACATGCTTTAGTTCTAAAGTTTGATAAATTTTGTGAAGTGTTCTGTTTGCTTTGCCAGATACTCTGTTAATATTTAACTCTCTCACCATTTCAGTGAGAATAGGTAGTGTTTCCATTTCTTAGATGTTGAAACTGAAGTTTTAGAAGATATGGCCCAAAACAATATTTACATTCAGATTTGAACTCAGGTCTGCTAGCTATGCTGATATAGATAAATTTGTAAAAATACATAGGATCTTAGAAAAAAATTACTCTAAAAGCTTGTCTGCTTCTATTGAAAACACTGAAATGTCTTTGCCACTTACTCTTGTTTTTTGATCTGTCTATTAGGAGTGTCCTACAGATAAGTCCTGTGCATTTCCTAGAGCAGTCTGGGTTACTGTTAACAGTTTGAGCATGTTTACCTTTTTTTTTTTTTTTGGAAAAAATGTCTGGAGTGGGAAATGAGAATGGAATGACAGATATCTCAGTAAGGATGCTGTCCTGTTGCTTAGCAGCAGGCAAGAAAACCAAGAGTGTTTTTTAAAAGTTGGACTTATAAATGGAACACCTGCATCCAGTTTTGATTGCCTCACTTCAAGAATGATAGAGCATAAATTGAAAGAATCTGAAGAAGTGAAAAAACTGATTATAGGTTTTGTGGGGAACTAGTGTATGTCAGTAATCCACAAGTATAGTTCAGCAGCTGTTTACTGGCATGGTAGGCTGTGTCAACAGTTTCAAGGATACCTTGCCTATATCTTAATGAACTAGCATGCAAGAAAAGTAGTTGATCTTCACTTCTGTTGCCTATTTTCTTTTTTATATGCCACTTTAATCTGC